GGTTGTCCTGGAAACAGATCGGCTATGTGGAACATGAAGGATGGGGTGTTTGCTGTGGTGACCTCTTTGAACACCTTGTCACTTGAAAGATGTTGCATGACCCACCTAAATGGCTGATGAGGGTAGTGGCCTGGGTCGGCTTGCCCCCCGGCCACAAGCCCCAACAGCAAAATCGCACAAAGACACTGTGCATGTCTGGGTCTCACCAGTGTGGGATACTCTCGGGTTTTGTCTGGCGGCTTGGTGGTCCGTCATCTCCCTCTGGAGCAGGGGTGTACGCGTCACGGGGACGGTCCACGAGCGTGTCCTGCAAACCGAAACTCACAGTTTCTCATTAGTTTCGTTTTGAAGGTCAGGTTTGATTGGCAGTGGTGGGTGTACGGCAGTGGCCCTCATTATAAATTTTATAAATTTGTAATCCTGACTCCTAACATAGCAAGGATGTCCCTTCCTATCAGGGGTGGAGAGTTTTGCAAAATGTAGGGGTGGATTGCTACTGTTTGTTCTGGTCCCTTTTTTGTATGAAGTGTTATAGCTACTAATTGGGTGCTTTTCCAAACTTGAGATGGCCCTCCCACTCCGTTCACTGGGGGGACTTCTTTGCATTGCCAGTGTCGGGGCCACAGTGCTTGGGGAAATATCGAGCAGTCTGCTCCTGTGTCTGCCCAAAGCTGAAGCTCTGTTACGTGGGGGTCCTGACTGCCATAAAGGCGGCATGTCCCCCACACCCTCGGGGGCTCCTTCCCTATTTTCATGGCCAGGGCCACCCAGGGGTCCCGTTCTGGGGTGCCCTCTGCTGACCCTGCGGCACAGGCGCTGCTTGCGGTGGTAGTGGGTACAAAGGTACCGCAGGCTGTGTTGCGAGACTCTGCAATTGTGTCGCTGGCGGGGGTATACAGCTGGCTGCCTCCTGTGGGGGTATGGGGTATAAGGGCTCCCCGCCCCACTGGGGGTTGGCATAGGTGGGCCGCCTTGTATTCGCGGCGGGAGGAGGCTGAGTGCGGCCCGCACGCCCCCTCCCTTTCCCGTTTCCCTGGGGCCGGGACCTGCATTCCTTAATGAGATGCCCTTTCCTCCCGCAGCCCCAGCAGGATTCCCGCGGGCGCGTTTGGGGTGGAGGCGCTGCGGCAGGCTGCCGTGCCGGCTGTGGGCAGCTCACCGCGATGTGACATGCCTCACCACACTTGAAGCATGCCATGGCACTGGTCAGGGTGTGGACGGCCGCCTGAATGGGCGTCAGGTGCTCTTCCCTTACTACATGTCTGATCATGTCAGCCAGGCTGGCTCCGGCTGGCAGGGAACGTAAGATATCCTTGGTGACAGAGTTGCACTGCTGGCGCAGGCAGTCAGCTACCACGGGGCCCTTTGCCTCTGCCGGCAGGGTGGAGGAGTCTATGGCTGCCTGCAGGCGATCCACGAACTGCGTGAAGCTTTCGCTCTCTGCCTGCCTCACGGTGGACCACGGTGCTGGCTTAGCCACGACTTGAGAGGCTGTGCGAATAGCCTCCCTGGCAGCCCGAGTGGTTGCCCTGACCTCCTCAGCCTGCATCTGCGTGGCTTGTTGTTGCGGCGTGATCATATCATCGTGCTTTCCTATTAGTCTGGATAAGCTCAATCTGTGTAGTGGCTGCCTCGCGCCAGATGCTTGGGCTAATAGCTTCCTACAATTATCCTCCCATTCCTGTCTAAACACAATCATTCCTGCACCATCAAGTATCATGCGACCTATTCACTCGATATCAAAGGGAAGCAGGTCGTCATTACTAAAAAGACCGTCGATTAAAGTGGAGACCATGGCCGAATTGATTCCTTTTTCTGCAATGGCTTTGACAATTGACTGTACATCTTTTGGGTTTACCGGGGTATATACCCTTTGTTGGTTCCCCTCCGGGCTGGTGAGCCTCACTGGGAAGGCTTGTATGGCAGTCTCTGGGGACCATTCAGCACAGGCTATTTTTATTTCTCCCCAGTTGGTAAACTGGGTTGGTTCGTATTGTGGTCGCTTTTCGGTGTGGCTTAAAGCTTTACTCGGTTTTGTCTTAAATCGCGTTGGCTCCATTTCCTCCGTTTCAGAGTTCCAGCCGGCCTCCGTCAGCTCTTCCGAGCTGGAAGAGCTGCTGCCGGACTCCGAGTCGGAAGTCGAATGCGAGCGCATTTCCGGGGCTCGGTGCCTTTTTGTCTGGCTCCGAGCTCGCTCCTCCCCGCGGGGGTGGCGCCGCTCCCGCCCCCCCGGCTTGCCCTGCCTCCTGCAGGGGGAGGTCTCTCCCTTAAATGGTATCTGCGTCAGGCACGGCTGCCGATTGGCTCCCTGCCCTCTGCCGCTCTCCTCCTCTTTCTCCCACGCACGGGTGTCCCTGAAATCGCGCGCTTCCCGGGTTTTCGCACCGAGACCGCCCACGCCCCGCCCCTCTCCTTGGCGGCCAGCGCCATTTTCAAAGGGGTGAGGTGGTGGCGTGGGTGGCGTCTCTTACCAAGCTGTGGTTTCTGTGTCTCTGGCTTCCCTCGCCAGCCCCTGCCAAAAGCATTCCGCGCGCTGCTGCACCTCCGGCAATGGGTCGCTGACCGGCGGCGGCGGGACGGACGGGGAAGCCGCGGTTTTCCGGGAGGTTTCCGCGGCGGGGTTTGGGCTCTGATCCGGGGAGGAAGGTGACGCGCCGTGCCCCCCCGGATCTCCGCTCCCGGGCAGATTGTCCTCAGGGGCGGTTTGCGTTCCCGCTCCCACCCCGAGCTTGGGTGTGACTAATAAACACGTACGCGCCGCGCTCCATGTCTCCTGCTCTTCTTTTTCTCTACGCAGGGCTTTCTCTACTTTGCCCCACGCCTTAAGACTTCTGCCACTGCCTGAGGTTTTCGTGTCCTCGGCCAGCGTGGTTGTGCATTTTTCCCATATTCCCGGATGCAGAACATCCACGGGGCGTTCAATCGCCCCAAGCTCAAGCAGCCTTGCTATAGCAAGATAAAAGTCTTTGAGCTTACACTCGATACCCCATTGCTTATAAATCGCACTTACGACCCTGGCGATAGCGTCCATGACTGTCACAGGTCCTGGGACGTCTCCCTCGCCAAGATACGGTTTGACCGCTCCGGCTGCTGCCCTTGTCCAAGTGATTCCTGCTACCCAAGCGAATTTCTCTTCCCAGGTTTCGGCACCAGATATGTTGCCTTTAGGGGAGGCAACGTCGACCTGGTTGCAAGGCGACAGCACGGCAGCCCGGCCTCATCCGGGCTACTCGGGCTAATGACAACACACTAACACCAATGTGGTGGACGGTCGAAAGCCTTTATTATCTTATCTCATGGGTTTAAATAGTCTTGGGGGACTTTGCTATGTCCGAGTGGGGTTAGTAGGGTCTCTAGGTTAGTCGGGAGTGGAAAACTACTGGGTTAGGTGTGGTTACATGCTCTGGGGGTGATAGATAACGTGAAGCAGGGAGAAGGGGGAAGGGTCTTTCTTTCCGTCACATCCCGAGATCTTCCGATCGCCTGTCCCTATCTACCACAGCTAAACCTCTCTGGGACTGTGGTGCTCCCTAGGCCGGGCAGTTCCCTTGTGCCAGCAGCGGTGGGTAACCACTGTAAGGCTCCATTACCCTCTCAAATAATGAAACACACGAGGCTGTGCTGTGGACGTTGCCTTCAGTGCTCAGCCCTCAGTGGGGAGGGCCCTTTCAGGTGCTGCTCACCACTGAATGGGCTGTGCCAAGCGCAGAGCGAGAGCGGCTCACGCCAACAGAATGAAAGGCTGGGGAAAGAACCCAGAGAATAGACTGCAGCATCCAGACTGGGTCAGAGATAACCAGAGAAGCTCAAGGATGTCTCAAAACTGGAGTCGAGCTCCCACCAGCTTGAAGATGAACTCACACTTTAGGTGGGGAGTTTGAACTGTATCATTTATTAATGGAATTGTCCTGTTTTGATAGATGAGAATTACAAGCATCTGTGTAGGGGAAATACACAGAGAACTGTAAAGAGGTATTGGACAGGTATCCTTAAGAACCAAAATGTAAAGTAGGACAAGAAATAGAGGACAAGACCAGGTTGGCCCCTGTGTTCCCCACTGAGAAGGTTCCATAGCCCTGCTGTGGGCAGCAATCCCATAGGCATGGTAAGGTGGGGGCAAGAAAGCCACACCAGAGCTCTGTCATTCCTCAGCTGCCTTTTAATACAACAGGGACTAGAAGGCAAGGCTGGCTTGGCCCCTGTACTCACCACTGAGATACACCTGCTATGGGCAGCAGCCCCATGGGCACGGCAGATGGGGGTAAAAAAGCCATACCAGACCTCAGTGAACCCATTTGGTCCACTCCAAGTAAGTGTGTCTAAAGAAAACCTGAGATGTTTTCCTTCTGTTCCCACTGTCCTTGCCCACATCAACAGATGCTAGTATGACTCATTAATTTATTTTAGAGGAGTAGGTTATCAGAATTCAAATGAGAGTTATTGTTTGAGCCACATGACTCAAAGGAAAGGAGAAGTGTGACTTGTTATAGATGAATGATGTGATGGGTGGCTCTCACAATTAAGAGATAGATATGACGTGTATATTAGGAGAATTTTTGTACATGTATAGTGTTGTTGCTGTAATATGACCTCCCACAGTGCCCTTTCCCCTCCTCCTTGTGACAGCCTCAGCAGCCAGGGCATATGGGGAGGGCTGGTTTATAACCAGGAGGGGCGACAGGAGAGCACCTGAGCTCCAGTCGAGATGTAAGGAAGTGATCTGCACCAGTGCACGGCAGAGAAGGGTTCACTGACACAGCTTTGGGAGGGGCTGAGGGTATAAAAGGCAGAGAACCCATTTTGTAAATGGGCACGTGGCTGATAGTCCCAGAGACCCCAGTGCTGAAATTTTTCCTTATTCAGTCACTTGTATTTTTTCGTTAAGTTTCAATAAACCTGTAAAATTTTAAAAGTGAGGGTCGTTTCTCACATCTTCCAAGGACAGTGAAAAAGTGTCACCTTCAGGCCAGTTTGTGATGATTTCCAGGAGACCAGGGCAATTTGGATTTCACAGTCAAGCTTGTTGTATAATGTTAAAAATAACAAATATAGGTATTGACTATCACATTTATGTACTAAGTTTTGTTTTACAAGCTATTACTGATCACAAAAATGCTGATACAGTACACATTGCCATTTCTGCTTTTGATGCAGTAAAACCTGTCAGTTTATGTAGGAACCATATAGCTTTTATAGATAGTAACTTAACGTTACTGTTTTTGAAAATACCCAAGCACTCAACACTGAAATGTATCACTTAATAAACTTGTATAAAAAATCTAAATAGAGAGCCATGTTTCTCACATATAATGAGGACAATCCAGTGATGCCAGGATGTAGTGCAGAGACTTTTCCCCTGAGCACCCAGCCCAGCGCTGGCACTGGGGATGAACAGGCACTGAGGTGACCCTGAGAGTCAGTGCAAGGCACAGGGTGCAGCTGAGGAAGGACAGCGCTGTGCTGGGCTCAGAGCTGGAGCTGGCACTGCCCAGCGTGGACAAGGTCCTTTCTGCAGCCCTGTCACAGGGCAGCCTGGGCCTTGCTGCAGACATACGGCCGCTCATTTGAGCACATCTCACTCCTCAATCTCTTGTCAGCCAGGCACACACACTGGGAATTGCCAAAGACAGGAACCCTGCAGGGAGGAGCAGAGACAGCGCTGGTTCCCAGGGGAACACCTTGTGCCCCTGTCCCCCCAGGCCCTGCCCGGCTCCCCGGCACTCACCTGGAGCTGTAGCTGCTGCCGTCCCCCCAGTGCAGGCGCTCGCCCCGTCTGCGCAGCCCGATCCAGTAATCCACGTTCCCGCGGAGGCGGAAGAGCAAATCCTGCCCAGGAGAGAGGAGTGGGAGCTGCCCCGGCCCCTCGGGGGGACACGGGCCCGGGGCTGCCCCCGCACGCCGGGGCTCCTTCCCTGCAAGGCCCCGGCACAGGGCTGCACCCCCAGCCCTACGAGCACCCAGCCCGGCCCAGGAGCACCCCCAGGCTCCCCCCAGCCACCCCACACCGCCCGCAGCCCCTCACTCACCATGGCCTCAGCCTTGAGAATGGCCAGGGAGGCCCCGAGCTCGGAGCACCGCTCCTGAGCCTGCTCCCAGCTCCTGGAATCCCTTGACAAATAGTAGCAGACCCCATTGGACCCAACCCAGCCATGGGGACAGCACTGCAAATTTGCAAGTGTAAATGGAACCTGTGATGCTGGAGGGGGAAGAGGAGAAGGTCTGAGGATTCCCCTCTGCAGGGAGCAGGGACCCCGCTCTGCCCCGAGGGGCTGGGCCCAGCCTGCTGCCCCTCCCTTACCTGACTGCACAGCCAAGGCCACCCCCAAAGCCAGCACCAGCACCAGGAGCAGCAGAATCAGCACCGTCGTGAGCACAGGATGGGAGCTGAACCATTCACCTGGAGCAGGAAAGAGCTGCTGGCTGCCAGAGCCAGACCCGGCCCTGCAATCTGCTCACCCCGTGCCCAGGGAGCACAGGAGGGACCCCTCAGCCACTGTGCCCCTCACTCAGCTGGCAGCCAGAGAGCCAAGAGCTGGGCACAGGCAGGGACACAGCTGTGGGGACAGCCAGGGACACAGCTGTGGGGACAGCCAGGGACACAGCTGTGGGGACAGGCTGCAGCAGGAGACCTGCACAGCCTTGGGGGCAGCTGGGGCTCTTGGTTCCAGCCACTGCTGGGGCCCAGCAGAGCTCGAGACCTCTTCCAGACATCGGGAAACAGCCACAGAACTGCCAGCCCTGGCCCTGGGAGGGGACACTGTCCCCTGCCTAGAGGCCACAGGGGTGGGCCTGCACTCACCCAGGAATCTTCTGAGTGGATTCGCTGTTGCTGACGTGTTCTCCAGGGACTCATTCACCCCGCCATGGGTGGTGCAGAATTCACTCCCCTCCAGCTCACAGCCCTCATCTCTCTGCCAGGAACAAACAGCACCTTCCTCCCGAGCCATCAGGAGTGCTGACAAAGCCTCTCGGAGATCGCCTCGGGAACAGCTTTACACCCATAAAGGGACACGATGCGAGGTCGCTGCTGGTCCCGGCCCCGCGGCACACCGAGGCTCAGCAGGGCGGTGCCGGCTCTGGCTGCGCTGTCCCCGCTGCCAGAGCTGCGGCAGCAGCTGCGGAGACAAGCGCAGCCTCCGGGAGCTCTGCGCTCCCCGCAGCCCCGGCCCCTGTGGCTCTGCAGCCGCTGCAGCCCAGCTCCGGGCGGCACAGCCGCTCTGCCTCCCTGCCCGTGGCCGTGAAGCGGCTCCTGGCACAGAGGGCAGCGCCGAGAAGCCTCGGCCCGGAGCGGGCAGCGTGCGGCGCTTTCTGCCCCCCGCTCGGCGCCCGCAGCGCTTCGGGCTCTGAGGCACGTTCAGCTTCATCCCGCGGCAGCCCCGAGCCGGGCACGGACACCTCCCGCCCGAGCAGCGGCCCCAGCCCGCAGCGAGCCCCGAGCTGGGGCACGACCGACCGCGGGTCCCACCTGGGCCGGAGCCGCCTCCGAGCTCCGCCGCCGCCCCGCCGGGCTCCGGTGCCGGACAGACCCAGCGGGCGCGGCCGCTGCCGCCGCACGGTGCCCGCGGTGTCTGTGCGGGAGGATTTTAGGAGTGTGGAGCCACAGCGGCCGGGGCAGCAGCGGGGGCGGGGAGGAGAGGAGCAGAGGGATGGAGCCTGTTTGGGAGTGACTGCACGAAGAGCGTTCGGCAGCGAGCCCGAGGCAATCGGGAGGAGCCCGGCCGGGATCCACGGCACTCAGGATGTGTTTCCGGGGTCTGCAGTAACAGCTGGCGAGTGAGGCTGCCAGGGGAGGGACTTTGTTAGTTGTTGTTTGTAACTGGAGACGGGCTGGAGGGAGATGTGTTGTTTGGAGGCGTCCTGTGCCGTGGTGATCATGATACCACAGTGTTCTCGATATTTGGTGATATCGGGAGTAGCATCAGTACAAATTTTGTACTGGGCTTCGGGACGGCACACTTTGGCCTATTTGGGAGATTTACTCAGAAAGTTCCTTGGGAATCAGCCCTTAAAACCAAAGGAGTCCAGGAAAGGTGGCATGCTTCAAAGCAGAGATCTTGAGGGCACAGGAACAGCCTGTCCCTGAGTGCCCAGAGATGAGTCAATGAGGCAAATGTGCAGCCTGGATGGGCAATGAGGTTTTGAAGGAATTTAGGAATAAAAGTAGGTCATGTCAGCTTTGGAAGGATGGTCAGTGTCTTGGTTTGAAAAGACAGGAGTCTGTGAAGGAAGGACAAAGCCTCCTGTGAAATAGAAAAGGTAAACCCCCTCTCTCTGAATTACCACAATTTCAAAATTAAAAGGCTCTCAGGCAAAGATATGGGAATGGGAATAACAGTTCTTTACTAGGAGAAAAAGTAAATTTTATAAAAATATAATTAGTACAAACAAAACTTCTGATAGAGTCAGAAACCTGACACCCTGAGGAGTCGGGGTGTTGGTAATAGTCCAGTTAAATGGTGGCTGTTCCTCCTGGAGTGGCAGATGAAAAGCTGCTGAAGCGGTGATCCTGTAGAAGGGTGGAGTTTTCTCTGAAGGTCTGGTGATAGAGCAGATAGGCCTGGTCTTCTTCTGGGGATTTAGCGGGGAAAAAGCTGCTCCTCTGGGAATCCAGGGAAGGGGCTGCTCTGATGTCCCAAAAAATGCTGATTTTATGCAGGTAAGGATGCTTGGCTCCTCCTTCTGGGTGGAGCATCTCACAATGGGATGATGGAACTTTCCCAGTCATGCAGTGAGTCATTCCATGGCCCATTAACAGAAGACATCTCCAAGGGAAACATTGTTCTTGGAAGGGATAAGAAACCTGCCCAACCTCCAACAGATGGCAAATGGAAAACATGCTTATCTTACAAGCCAGGACAAACACAAGCATATTTATGTCAGCTATTTATAAGTTTAAGTTAACAACAGAAATATAAACTATATATTTTTAGCAAAGTTACTTTAACATGACAAATATAGAATCCATTTTAATATTTACAAAAAGCCAATACTATAATATATATCTATAACACAGTGTTAATTTTTAACACTTCACCTGAAATCATTGTTTTCCAGTTGATTTTGGTGTTGAAACCATTCAGTGTAGCTGCTCTCCATACAAAGAAACCTTTAGACATGTTTAATCTTACTGCCAGTAGAAGAGAATTTTCAGTAATTTCTGCAGTTTGTAGTAGTAGTCTTAGTATTTCTGTGCTTCAGCAGTGTTCATCCAGCCACACTTCATGGAAAAACAGAATTCCCAAAACCCAAATGTTTCAAGTTTGATGTAAAGTGTTTCTATATTTTATGTTCTTCTGTATGTCAGAGAAGATTTGGGTTTAAAAGATAAAAATCTGCCTCTGTTAAAAAAAAAAAAAAAAAAGAGAAATTTTACTTTAATGGAACCCCAATTTTACCTCAGATGTCTATGATTCCTTTTTTTTAATTTTTCCCCCTGAATATTAATGAAATTTTCAGCACAAACTGGGCTTTGTGGGAAATGCTGTTGGGTGCCCACAAGAAAAGTTCCTCATGTTAGCGGCTCAGACCATGGTGAGGTTTCAGCATTTCCTCCTGTCAGGTGGGATCTGAAGGCCCTGAGGTGGCCTTGTCTCCTCAGAGATTTCCTGCCCTGAGGAAGCAAAGGCTGATTGAATGTGCCTGATCCTCTCCTGTCTAATGGGGAGGAGCAGCAAACAGCAGAGCTGGAATCACCTTCTCTGCTCCTGATTTCTCCTGCCAACAGATCTCTTGGCTCTGCCAGGCCCAGAAGTCACTTTTCCTTTGGGATGGATGGCCTGAAGGCACCCAGGTGCTGCAGGGCAGCCCTGCTTCAGAAATCCTTTTGCCTTGGAAGCATCCTTCTACCTAAGAGCTGGATTTGGAAATAGATGTAGTGAGGCCAGGGAGCTAACTCAGAAATGTCAGTAGGATCCCAAAGAAAAAGATCCCCAGAAATGAGTGCAGTTATTTTTATAACAAAGTTTCTAGCAGAAGTTTCTGGGCTCCAGGTGAGCCATGGAATAGTTTAGCAGTGTCAGAAACAGCACATCCACTCTTGGCCAGGAGCTCCCAGCTCTTCCCATGGCACTGGCAGTGGTTTCTGTCAGGATGTTTTACCCAGCAGAAATCCAAGGTAACCACGGGATGTGACTTTATCTGCCTATACAGTGAAACTTGCTTTATGGGTCCCATTTAACCTCCTGCTAACCAGGTGCAGCTGCCTTCCTGCCTGTGGCTGCCCTCTCACAACTGGGTCTCAAAATCCAGAGATAAACGGCAGGGACTGTTACACCACAGGGACTCATTTGCTCATAGAATCTCTAGCACTCCGGTAGAAAACTAAATATTTGCCTTGTAAAAGACAAATATTAAGTCAACACTGACAGCTGTACATCAGAAAAAGATTTTCTGTTAGGCTGAACAAAAACTTCCTTAGAAAACAGACTGTACATTGATGAGAATTATTTATTAGCAATTACAGTTGTTTTCTGTGAAAACCGCCATTCACTTGTGTTAAAATTTTAGAAGTTTAATAGTAAGGAAAATAGTAATAAAAATTAGGACAATACGAGGCAATAAAAAGCAAAGAACTACAGAGGTCTGGATGCCTTGCACTCTGCCTCAAAGCACGCCTTGCTAACACAGGATTACCCCTCAGAGCAATAACCTCTTGCATATTCATATATCTCATACATGATTCAAACATTCCTTTCAAACTGGGGTGTTTCTGCTTAGTTTTAGCTTCCCCCCCATCTTGTGAATCAATTTTCTTGGCTCCTCGAAGTCTGAGTGTTCCAGATAAGCAGGCAATAATTCTCTTGGAATTTTGGTGTTTTGTTGCTGTTATCTCTATCTTAATAGGATAATGCAAAGAATCTCATGATTATCTTTTCCATTTCTTACACTTGTTACAAAAAGTATCTTACATCACATATTTTAATATTATGCTATAGCTAAAAGACAATATTTACCACACTACTTAAAAAATATTAATAGCACTACTACTTAAAAGAGATTAATACAGCATAACTTTCCAACATAACACATATAGTATTAATACTTGTGAAAAGCCAATCATATAATGTGCATCTGTGACATTTTCCACTAAAACTTCCATGCATAACACAGACCGCTTTCAGTCCAAGAAGAAATCTCGATGAAAAACTGTGTTTCAAAGTCACTGTCACCCCTGCAGAGAGGCCTGGAGCTTTCCTTACCCCATCCCCAGGGGACTGTGAGCTGCCCTCCCCAGCAGCAGAGGCCACACGTGCCCTCCTCAGTTCAGAAGTCAAAGGTGCCCCTTGACAGAGCACGAGCTCCTAAGGCACTGGGGTAAGGAGTTGTCAGTTCCCAGCCCAGCATCCCATGGTGATGTGAGGGTGAAAAATGCCACGCGTGCTGTGCACTAGCAGCGATCCTCAATCCATCTTTCCAGCGCTCTCCTTGGAGCTGCTCAGGCTCCTGGGGAAGACAGGCCAGCCAAACGTGCTCAGTCTGGCCCTTGCAGGGTGAGGGGCAAGAAGCAAGAATGCAGCGTGGTCTCTTTGACCTTTCCTGTAGCAGGATTTCTGAGAGAGACAGGACACGATTTATATTTGGAGTGAAGGTGGAGCTACCCCAGCCTAGGCCTCAGTCACGGCCTCAGTGAGGCCTTTGAAGCCTCTGGCACAGTTGGAAATTAGTCTGTGCACAGTTAGCAATTATGTTAAGGTGTAAGCAGAGAGCAATGGGCTTTCTGGGTGTGATTTAGTATATATAGGTCTGCAGTGTGAAACTTTAACCACCCTAAGACAAAGACAAACAATGTTTGCTTGCCAATGAGAGTGTGCTCACAATTGTAAACTATATTCAAGTGTATATAAATGGCCATCTTATAAACAATAAACAGAGAACGTTTGATTAACCCCATTGTTTCGGATCTATGTCTGTCCTGTCTAGCCTGACGATTAATACGAGGTCTCTTGCATTATCTGGCGCCACGAACAAGGGGCTTGGAAGACTCCAATGAGTTCCCAAATCACCTTCATGGCAACGGGAGACTGTCTCCAAATCGTGTGAAAGACAGGACCGGGGACACAGATGGCTCTGGATACACGGCTCCATGCATCCCACTGCTGTTCCACCTCGAAAAACAGAAAAAAAAAAAATACACACACACACACACACCCACCCACCTGTGTTTGTGTACGTGTCACTGCCCAGCTCTGCTGGCTGGAGCTGCCCCTGCCTCTCTGTGTGCGCTCTGCTCTCGTAAGGAGAAGAATTTGCCTCAATGTATAAGTTTCCCAAAAGGTGGATGTAAAGTTGTGTGCAGTGATTTCCATCAAATTTAATAGTGCTGCAGTTCCCATTAAATCCCCATAAACAGGAGTATCTGCCATCACTGTGATCCACTGCTGTTCCAACCCACGCTCCCCAAAAACTGCTGCCATCAGAACGGGGCGCTAGGCCAAGTGCTAAACCTCTCTGGGACTGTGGTGCTTCCTAGGCCGGGCAGTTCCCTTGTGCCAGCAGCGGTGGGTAACCACTGTAAGGCTCCATTACCCTCTCAAATAATGAAACACACGAGGCTGTGCTGTGGACGTTGCCTTCAGTGCTCAGCCCTCAGTGGGGAGGCCCTTTCAGGTGCTGCTCACCACTGAATGGGCTGTGCCAAGCGCAGAGCGAGAGTGGCTCACGCCAGCAGAATGAAAGGCTGGGGAAAGAACCCAGAGAATAGACTGCAGCATCCAGACTGGGTCAGAGATAACCAGAGAAGCTCAAGGATGTCCCAAAACTGGAGTCGAGCTCCCACCAGCTTGAAGATGAACTCACACTTTAGGTGGGGAGTTTGAACTGTATCATTTATTAATGGAATTGTCCTGTTTTGATAGATGAGAATTACAAGCATCTGTTGAGGGGAAGTACACAGGGAACCGTAAGAGGTATTGGAGAGGTTTCTTTAAGGACCAACAAGTAAAGTAAAACAAGAAATAGAGGACAAGACCAGGTTGGCCCCTGTGTTCCCCACTGAGAAGGTTCCATAGCTCTGCTGTGGCCAGAAAATTAGGAGAAATGCAGTTTCCTGCTCAATTTCCCTCAACAGAGACAATTCTGGGGCCTTTGGACAACTTTCTCATCTCTGAAGGTCCCTTCAAACAGAGGGCTCCCTTCGATGGAACTCTTACAATAGCACATAAAGAGGTTTCCTCTCAAGGGAAGCCCTTTAAGACCAAGGACAGCCGTGTTTGCCCTCAATTGGAACCTGAAGATGATGAAAATGAGTCGCTTTTCCTCAATTCAAACAGCACCATAAAGATATTCCCCTTCCATTTAAACACGAAAATAATCGAAAACAGTGATTGCCTGCCTACTGAGGCACCCAAAATGATGAAAAATGTCTATTTTCCTTCACCCAAAATGATGAAAAAGGTGCATTTTCCTTCAGCTGAGACCCTTCAAATCACAGGTGACTGGGGATCCTCCCCAGTCAGACACAATTACAGAAAAGCTTTCCTCCCTCAATTTCAATCCCTTTTCTCCTTTAACCCCCCTTTTTTGGGGGGGCACTGGGGGCACTTCCCCCTCCTCACTGGTCACACCTGGGGCTGCTGCACCTTGCAGAGTGCTGAGGAGTTCCCTTCCAGTTCGCTGCCCGTGTCCCATTCCTGGCAAGCAGCGGGAGGGATGCTGAGAGCACCGGGCAGGAACTGGGAGCGCTGTTCCTTCCCAGAGCTCCTAAATCCCTCCCAGTGCTCCTTCTTGTTCACTGCCGCTGCTGCCACTCTCCCTCCCAGCTCCCTCCTGGCATTCCCTGTGCTCCCGGTTCCCTCCCAGTGTTCCAGGATCTCTTCCAGTGCTCCCAGCGGCAAAGCACTGGGGGCACTGCGTGGTCTGCTCCTGAAGAGGCGAGACCTGAGCTGTTGGGAGGGAAATCCCCACTGGGAAAAGCATTCCCTGGAGAGGAAGGTGTCTCCCCTGTCTGACCACAGAGGGAGCCGAGTCTCCGCTGTTAACTCCAGAACGTTCCAGCTCCGAGTCCGACTGCCCGAAATTGGACTGGCCCCACTTCCCAGCGCACTACTGAGAGCTCACACGGCTGAGGGGGCAGCGCAGATTAAATCATGAACGCTCCTGGTACTGCTTTAGCTCTGAACTACACACTGCCACAGAGGAACACAACCCTGAAAGAGGATGGGTTTCTCTTGCTGGCACAAGAGGAGAGGGAGAAGTCTGACAGGAATGTTCTTCATCATTCTGCCCAGGCTGTGTCAAACACTGCAGCTCCTGCACTTCGGGAAATAACAGGGGGCTTCTAAGAAGTGACTTCAATGTCAGTGAGCATGTTTTCATGGATTAGTCCTGCACAGGAAAGCAGTCCTCACACCCTACTGCTCTTTGCATCACCCAAAGAGTTTGGAGGCTGCTGCCTGGTGAGCTCCTGGGTTGTATCTTCCTTGTCAATCTTATCAGCCCCTTGTTTAATTGTAAAAACTTAAATGAAATGCAGCAAGCCCTGGGGAATCAGGTCTTGCATATCTCTCCCAAAGAAAGGGAAAAAAGGGTGTTTCTCCCAAACTACAGGGTTTTAAAGTTTATGTTAACTACATATACTTTTAAAGGGAAAAGAGGAAGAGTAAAATATCAATTACTCTGCCAGTGGTGCTCCAGCCTATTTCTCTTCTCTTCTTTCCCTTGTAGCTTCTCTAAGAATACTCAAAAAAACCAAAAAACAACAACAAACTAAGAGTCCATTGAATTTAAGCTGAAGGAGAAGCAATCTGGCTGCAGGCTTGTGGCACTCCACTGCCTGAGTTCCTGGAAGGGAGTTCACCCCCTCTGCAGTTACAAGCCAGATCTCAAAGTACCGAGCATCAGCTTTTAGCTTTTTTTAACATTTAACTGTAAGAAAACTTCTGGGGAGGTCCATGCTCAAGCACATCTGTGGGATTTCTCTGCTGAGCTCTCTCAACTCAACTCGTGTCTTTTCCTCCCCTTGCTGGGTTTGGCTCGTGCATTTCTTGAGGGGCACTGATCAGAGCATGCACTGACCATCAGACAAACTGCTGCTGGCAGTGTGGGGCTATCCTAAATGGACCATTTCCCAAAGTAATTCCAGTGCCTCAATTTCACTTCCTCAAGATGGCTTTTAAAGGAACCTGGTTTAATGCTTTCCATTTCTGAACAAGGAGTGCACAAGGCTCCTTCCCTCCCTGCCAGGGTTATTCTTGGAGCCTTGGAGAAGGGCTTTAAAGCAGCACAGAGCTTGTTTAACAACAAACTACATCGAAAGTGCAAATCAATAACCTGGGCAGAGACTGACTTCAAAACCTGTTATAAAACTGAATTAAAGAGCAGTTTTATTGCCAATTAACAAGATTAGGAAGGTTTCCTTAGCAGTTGTTGAGATGACAAAGTAAGGAGAGGATGGAGCATGGAGCAGTGGCAAGAATGGGAAAACCTTCATTTGCACAGTGGGTTTTTAACCATCATGGTCAAATCTCAAGGACTTGTAGAAACCATTCTAATCACAAGAAAGGAAAAGTTCCTGGATATGTTCCACTTCAGCAAGAGCCCAAGGAAGCCCTCAGCAGCAGGGGATTGGGAGAACTGCAGGGCTGGTTTCTGGAGCAGGGGGAGCAGGTGTGCTCCTCAAAGGCAGACCTTCACCCACAGCAGCCAGAAGGTGGAAACACAAGGATACAGCAAAGCCTTAAGTGGGGAACGGGTTATCAAGGGTTTTCTAAGGAAAGAATAAGTTCTGGGAAACAGGACTGGGAAGGTGAGAGAGAAGGGAAAAGGGAGGCAGCTGAGGCCTCTTCGGATTCGAAAAAAGAAGGAAGGAGAAGGGAGGAGGAAATAAAAGTCTGAGACTAAATTCTAACACAGCTGGGGCTGGATTTAAAGGTAATAGAGGGAAACTGTAGAAAGAGGAGACTTCTTTATAGCAGCAAACTACTGGGATAACTTCACTATAGGAACTGAGAAATCTCTGTCAACAGCAGCTCTCTGCAAAGAGGTCAGGCATCCACTCCTGATGGCAAAGCCAGGCACCAGGAACTGGGCCAGACAACATCCCCAGGTTGATCCCAGCCCTATTTTCCAAAAAACGCTCAACTATATAGTTGTGCTTTAACACAGAAAAGTCGTTTTTCACTTATCATGCTTTGAGATGCCTCAGATTGAGGTGTGAACCCAGCTCCTACCACTTTGTTGTGCTCAGACTTTCCCCCTTTCCCCAGCCCAATCTCTTGAGTAGCCAACAGCTCATAGGGAGCCAGCCAGGCCAGGAGCTTCTCCACAGCTTGTTTCAGGCAGAGGGAAGGAGAAAAAAATAAAGAAAAAGGAGGACAAAAAGGAGGCTGTCCTGGACAGTGCAGCCTGGCAACCTCCAGGCAATAAAACACAGAGCACACAGACAGCTCCTTGCAAGTGGGGGGCTCACAAGCCTCTCCATGGGGCTGGTGGGGAGTAGCTCTTCTTATACATCTCCTCCTATACATCTCCTCCTCCCCAGTGTTGCCTGTTTTCCTCCAGGAAATCCACAGTTATGTGCTTGCTTAGGAAATTGCTAAACAACTGCCTAAAAAAATAGAGGTGGGAAAGGCAGAATTTCTGCCTTACAGACCCAGCTTAGATGAGCTGGCTTAAAAAATACATGCATACATGTATACACACACATACACATATGTATGTCTGGTCCAAAACCAGGCCTGTAAATATATATTTATAGAGCTCCACACTTTTCAAACCCCAAAATTAACTGAAGCAGAATTGATTTTCTTTTTTTCTTAGAATTGTCTGGATTTTAGCCAGTTAACACAAGCACCAGTCATATACTTCCCTTGCTCATAGGGCAGGTGATTGGCTGCTTTGCAGGAATAGAAATCATCTCCTGTGGTGTTTGGCTTGTAGGAAAACCAGGATATTTGCACAGCCTTGCTCCCCTTGTCTCACAACATTTATGTGATGAGTTCTAAGGGCAGACCTCAAGTGCTCAAAACATTCCCAACAAAAACCATTGCACAGTGGAGAGTCACAGAACCCATCCCACCCACCTCAGAGCTGGGTGCCAAGGGGAAGCAGGAGGAAGAGGCAGATGTTTTGGGAACAGTAACAGCTCCTTGGATGATCCACAGTGCAGGCAGGTGAGCTGGGATGGCCCAGTACTGGCACTGCCCTCACCAGAACGGTCTCTTGAGGAGGATTTGAGGCTGGGTACTCACAAAAATCTCCATCAACACTCTCCAGGGCAGCAAGGGCACAGAGAAGCCTCGGATCCATCCAGAACCAGCAGAAACAGAGCAGAAACCAAGGCTGTAACATCACCTAAAAAAACCCATCCGAGCTCAAGGCTGAGCTTAAATTGGCTCCCAGCCCATGGGGAGTGGAGACCACAGGTGAGGCTCATTAGGGTCATTAAAGCTCATTAGGGCCCTCAGGTGCTCATTGGACACACCTGGGGCCTCTTGACCCACACAGCCCCAGGAAATTTCTCTGGTCAGGATTTTTGGAAACTTTTGAGTGCCACCAGTACAATCACGTGGGAGCTGCTCTCTTCCCTTTGCTCTTTCTCTTAGAGGGAAGGATCGATGGAACTTGTTGGTAGAGTCAGGGCTTTCCCTGCCACTGCAATGGCGAAAAGGGAGGTGACAAGGCAGGAAAAGATGCTGGAGGTAGGGGGACTTTTGGAGCTGAAGGCCATTTGGAAGAGAAGGTTTGCAGGCTTTGATGCAGCAGCCCCAGGCGAGTGCAGCCTGGCCACCCTTTGCCAAAGTCCACCCTGATGTCACAGCCTGGTGGCAAGGTCCCTGCGTGCCTCTCTGGCCTGGGCACGGTGACCTGGTCACACTGAGTGCCCCTGCTCTGCCCGTGGGTTTCAGAGCTGCCACAGCAGGTTCTGCAGCCAGGATCCCCCATGGTGATCCAGCAGCCAGGTCCCGTCCCTGGACAGAAGTGGGAGATCACATTTCCCTTGGGTGATACACGAGGGGCTGGAGGAGCACCCAGGATTCCAGCAGCACTGATTTTAGGACCATCTGTCTATCGGTGTCCAAAGTTCCATAAGGCACCTTTCCAAGAGCATGCCAACCCCAGATGGATTTGAGAAGAATGCTTCACAAAGTTTTAGAACTCTCGCTGGTTTTTCTGCTTTATTCTTTTTCACAGATTCTCTCAGTAACAGAAGGAAGAAGCAGGTTTGGAGAAAGAAGAATCAGGTTTTCTCTCAGTTTCCCACATCCTAATCTTGAAACGTCTTGGCAGCCAGACCTAAATAACCACCCTGCCAAAGTTCAGGCCTCCTTATCAGCAGGTTTTTTTCACAGGCTATCTCTGTTTGCCTTGCCTCTCCAGGTATTGTATTGAGCTGCAGGCAGCAAACATTCTGGGGCCTTACCTTCAGGGCTTAGACCCTCCACAACCACCTCACTCTGAAACAAATCCTTTTCCCCCACACTGGGTAAAGAACTGAAACTTCCTGTGTTCAGCAGGACTTTCATACTCTGAAAAGTGTGCTTTGCTCTCAGATGGCACTGCAGAGCACAAATCCCCCAGAGCCATGCATGGTGTGTGTTGGAAGGAACCTTAAAGATCATCGAGTTCCAGCCCCCTGCCATGGGCAGGGACACTTCCCACTATCCCAGGGTGCTTCAAGCCCCACTCAGCCTGGCCTTGGACACTTCAGGGATCCAGGGACAGCCGCAGCTTCTCTGGGCCATGGGCTTCTCTGCCTGTGACAGGGGATTGAGAGAGAATGGTCTCTAAGGTCCCTTCCACCTCAAACCATTCTATGATTCTATAAAAGCTACATGAAAGTATTAAAGAGAAGGATATTTTTTCAAGCTCAGTATGGGGTATTTGTCCATAAGGACCACTGGAAGATCAAGTGAAGACTCCACATATGGGAAACCTATAACTGGAGTTTCCCCAGGTTTCTCTCAGCTGGATCTGCCCTGATATTCTGATCCCAGTACTGGCCCCAAAGCCCAGTGGTGATGCAGAGCTGGGAGATGTGCCCTTGAAAATGCCAAACCACCAAAGTCCTGGGGTTTTGATCCCACTGCAATATGCAGATCACTTCCAGAAGGACACATGAAGTGCCTCCCTTTTCCACCCCCCCATTCTTTTTAGCAAAAGCTTTCCCAGGACTCTGAGCTGCATCACCACCCCTTACTTTGGTGTCTTTAGAAAACAATTAAACTCAGCAATCAGAAACTTCAGGCATTTTTAAAAATACTGTATGGTTAGTGCGCCAAGGGATTTAGAGATGGATTTCCTAAGCCCTTTCCCGTTTCTTTCTGGGGGTAGCAGTGCTCCCCATCCCCTCCAGCCTGGCCCTTTAAGTAACTTGAGGCTCCAGGCTGCAAATCCCATTCTCCAGCTAAAAGGATGGAAAAGCTGTTTCCCCCCTTCCCCCTTCTGGGTCTTTTCTTTTGAAAGGAACTGCCTTTTCTCCCGTGATGGGAAGAGAGAGATCACCAAAAGACAGAGCAGCTTTCTGAGCATCCCCCTCCCGTGTCAGGACAAAGGGGCAGCTCCTCCACCCCTCAATGCTTCTGGCAGCTCTTTTTTTTTTCTTCCAGCTTCCCTCCCCTGCCGCCGGCCTTGGGCAAACCTCAGCTGATTTCCAAAGGCCCCGCGGCTGCTGGGGGTTGGCACAGAGGTTTAATTATTTGCCTTTGCCTGGGTAAGGCGGGGACAGGGAGCCGGTCGGGCCCCATCCCCGGACACTGCTGATCTTGCCTCTCTCCCACCCCCTCCCTGCCCTGCCTCCCGGAGCCCACCATGGATCCGCAGGCGGTCTGGGGATGCTTTTGTCTGCTTTGCTTTTCCCTCCTGAGAGCAGCAAAAGGTAAGAGAGACTTTGGGCTGGTTTAGCTGCAGGGACTCGACGGGGTCTGGATGCCCAAGAGGTGAGATCTTCATCCCAGCACTTACATTCCCGGTCTGCAGCCAAGCAGGAAACAGCGACTGGAAAACTGCAGACAGCATGAGCATCTCCTGAGGCCAGGAAATTTTGAGGATTGTGGAAATCCTTTCTGGAGGGGTGAGGAAAACCAGAGAGCTGGAGCTTTTTTAACTGCATGCAGTGCAGAACTGTAAAAACTCCTCAGTCTGTCCCACAGAGGAAAGCCCCAGGGACCGAGCTGGACTTCCATTAATTAATTTGTTGTTAAAAGCAGCAAAGCTGTAAAACATTTCAGAAGTCCAACAAGTGCATCAAATTTGCAAGAGAATTTCAAGTGACTTTAGAAAACAGTTTTGACTGGTTTTGTCATGGCAAAGACAACCCTCCCCCCCCTTCAATCACACTTGTATATGAGCAATAGGAAGGGACTTCAAATAAGTCGAGAGAAATAAGATTAAAGCAGAGAGTTTTGATCTAAAGCTGTCCCACCAACTTCATTTTGTCTTAGCATAAAGACAGTGATTTAATTAGGAGTTAGAAGTTCTGATGGAAAACTCATAATATGAAGGATTCAGCTTCTTTTCTCCCCTAAAGATGTTGATTGTGCCCCAGTTAATGCCCAGTGCTGAAAAGGCACTGGAGATATCTCTCCTGTCTGTGGGCATGCTCAGGAAACTTCCCTTCAGGATTAAAGTGTGTTTCTTTGGCATTTCTAGAAGTCCTGAAGTGCTCAAGCAGAGCCGCTGCTCCGGCCACCTTACTTAAGGCAGGGCTGGAAACACCAGCCCCGAGAACACCCAAATATCCAACCACAGGCACAAATAACTGCCCATGAAAACCTTCCCACCAGCTAGACTTCCCCTCCCAGGACGTGGAGTGATCCAAGCCATCAGCGCTCCTGCAAGTCCGGGTGCCCTCTGGGATGGAGGTTTCTGGGTATGGAAAGTGGAGGTGATCCATGACCTCTTACCTTCAACATTTCCATCTTTCCACAGGGAATTTGCTGCTTTCTTTCCAGCCCAGGAGCCTGTACCAGTACCGGTACACCCTGGATGTCCAGCTGCAGCACACATCCACACCATCCCCATGGGGAGCCGGGATGCAGGCCGAGGCATTGATCCATCTGCACCGGCTCTGGAGGGACCGAGATGGGCAGGAGCTGCTCCAGGTGCAGGTGTGTGCAGGGCAGGTACAGCCATCCCAGCTGCTCCAGGTGTGTGCAGGGCAGGTACAGCCATCCCAGCTGTTCCAGGTGTGTGCAGGGCAGGTACAGCCATCCCAGCTGCTCCAGGTGTGTGCAGAGCAGGTACAGCCATCCCAGCTGCTCCAGGTGTGTACAGGGCAGGTACAGCCATCCCAGCTGCTCCAGGTGCAGGTGTGTGCAGGGCAGGTACAGCCATCACAGCCAGGTGTTCCTGCTGGGAATGCCCCAGGAGCTGCAACCTCTTCCATTTCTAGCCCATGCCAGCTGAAAAATGACCTCTCTGACCAAATCCATTGCCTGCAGGTAAAATGCACGCCAGCTTTAGAGCAGACACTTGGTCACTGCTTTCTGCCATCTTCTGCTGTCGTAGATCCATGACCTGAAGGCCCAACACCAGCCAGAAGAGGAGAAGAGCCAGGACAGCACCGGAGGTTCCCCTGTAGAGATTGCACTGAGCCCAGAGGCACAGGCAGAGCTCCAGCAGCCAGTGCTCATCTCCTGGATCAGTGGGAAGGTCAGCTGGACACCTCCTGGGCTGTTTGTGCCCTCTGCAAAGCATTCTTGTCCTCATTCTAGATTTTATGGACTATGAAGCCCATGGGAGCTCCTGCTCCACCTCTGATTTCAGAGCAGAAGGAACTGGACAGAGTGGCCAGTGTTGGACCCTACATGGAGTCCTGTGCTCCAGAAAGACTCAGCTGGAGCTGCAGAATCCCCTTAACCATGGGATATAAGCTCTTTTCTGGCCCTCTCCTCTAAGGCTATGGAACCCCAGGGTGGGAAGGAAAGGGAAATTTTGTGTTCTTGCATTCACAGTCCTCATGCTATTGAGGGATAAGGGCCTCCTTGAGAAAATTCCTCAGGTGTCTACAGGGTGTTCTCAGGTTCCCTTCTGTCAGGAAAGGCAGCAGAGAGCCTGCAGGGACCCCAGAGATGTCCCCTCAGCCAGGCATCACCTCCTGCCCTCCCAGGTCAAAGCTTTCTATGGGAATAAAGTGGAAAACATCCTGATCTCCAACCTGAAACGAGGCATCGTCAGTCTGTTCCAGCTTCAGCCCCATGCTGGCACCACAGTGGAGGTAGGTCCAGAGCTGGGACCAAAAATCCAGGGAAGCACCAGGAGAGCTGGCCCTGGAGCCTAGCCAGCCCAGGAGCTTCAGCAGGGGGGGCAAATTCAGGATAAACAGCATCAGGTCTGCTGCTTCAACCAGGCTGTGAGCAAGGATGACTCTTGGAAATAATATAATATTAAAATAACCAAACTTTCAGCAATAGGCACCCTTACAGAATCACAGCCTTTCCCTGGACAGTAGGAACAGCAGAGAAAAAACTCCACAAGCATTCCTGCCAAGCAGGATTTGCTTTGCCAGCAGCCAGCTGGAGTGACCTGTGAACAACATGAAACAGCCTCAGAACCCCAAATGCAGTCACAGAGATGCTTAATTAAATCTTAATTTAGAACCTGAATTTACAAAGGTGCCCAGATGGATTTGGAACTATCCAGCCACCCCCTGATCTGTCCCACTTTCTGGATTTTAGATGCTGTTCAGTTAGGCTGGCCCTTGTGTCTGTCCTCTCCACAGACTGTTTCATACTCGTTGTTCACTTCCCATTTGTGTTTCAGGAAGATGCCTCTGGAAGCTGCCAAGTCACCTACACCGTGTCCAACCATTCCATCACCAAGACCAAAGATCTCCTCAGCTGCTCAAAGCCAAAATCTGGATTCACCTCCACAAACAAAGCAAGTCCATTGCTCTCACTGTGGGGGTGCTCAGCTCACACTGAGTACAGCAGGGCCAACCCTAAAATCTTTTCACAGGTGGCCTTGGATTCCCATTCCCAGCTGGCTTCAGCCTTCTGCACCAGCTTGGGATGGGACTCTTAGACTCATCCTCAAAGTGGGATGCACCAACATCCCTCAGGAGGATCTTGAGGTGTTGAGGTGGGAAGGAGCAGTAAAGGTGCTCTGGGTCACCCCATCCCCACTCCTGTTATCAGTTCTGAGCTGTCAGCTGGTCCTGCTTGGGCAGGTGGAGATCCAGGGATGTTTTCTGGGTCTCAGACTCATTGCATGGGGGATTAGTTTGACAGGCCTCTGTTTTGCTTAAAGCAGTAGGCTGTGTTCAACTCTGACATAAACCCATGAAATCCCATGGGTCTTAATGCAGTTATACCTGCCATAAACACAATTTAAGTTGTTTTTTTATATATATACAAATTCTACTGAATTCAATATAAAAATGGACATTCCCGTGGAGACTCCTTGAGCCCTGGCAGGGGTCTCAACACCACCTTGTTGTGCAAGTCCCTGTGGTGTCACCATTCTGTCTACCTGCATCAGCCGTGGGTGGGAGCATCCCCTTGCTGGTCCTCACCTGGTGTTGCCTTCTCCCACATCTGGGAAGAAGGTGGGCTCTTAGGGATTTTCCTTTCCTACATTTTGCAAGTAAAGCAGGTGACTTTGTGGGCTGGAACGTTCTTTTTCTGCTAATGTAAAGAGAGAAGTCTCCTGGGGAGAAAGCAAGGGGAAAAAATGTTGCTTTTTTCTTTCTCCTTGCTTTTCCTTTTCCAAGATTTTTGGAGTTCAGTGGCAGCCCTCCAGCAGAAGCCAGTACGTGGTGAAAGATGGCCTACTCCAGTCAGTCCTGGCAGAGGAAAGCCACCTGGTGGCTCCAGCCCTGAGATCCTGCTCCAGCATCAAAATCACTTCAAGGTGAGCCACGATCCCAACCACTGGCCATGGAGGGTGGAAATCACAGATGTTTCCATCGGCTGTTTCTCCCTTCACAGGCAGCAGCTCCAGCTGGTGTCTCCCGCAATGCCTGGGCCGGCAGAGGTGTCTGGACAAAGCCCTAAGGATGTGCTGGCTGGCATGGGGGCAGAGCCCCAGCCCCTGGGCATGGCCAGCCTGCCCTTCAGGAGGGTCTGCACCCACTGCCCATCGGTCAGTGATGCTACCAACCCCCAGAACTCACCAGGGCCTCTGCCTCAAGCTGGGCACTTGTGGGGTTTGGGGTTAAACCCCAGTGGTGCTTTCAGAGGGGCTGCTTTGGTGTAAACGTTATCCCATGGTAACAGGGGAAAAGAGGCGAAATCCCCCCTAATAAACCTCACCTTTGCAGCTGAGAGCCTTCCTGAAGGCTTCTGACAGGCAGAGAGTCAGAACAGACACCTCGAAGGTGGCGACAACCTGGCAGTTCCAGAGGTTCATCCAGATGCTGCGCAGCGCCAAGAAGAGGGATATCCTGGAGCTGCTGAGGAGAGTGCCCGAGCAGGCACGGTGAGAACCCCTGGAGCTATCTCTCCAAAATTCCCAGCACTGGACAAGACCTCCAGGGTCACCTGGTGCTGCTCCATGCACCATCCCTGCTCCAGGCAGCCATCCTGACTTGAGGCAGAGTTCTCTGGCTTCTCCTAAGGCCTGTCCTGTCCAAGCACCGACGGTTTTTGTGGCAGTGCCACTGATGACTTCCCTCCTCCTGCTCCAGCCCCTTCCTCGTGGAGGCAGCGGTGGCCACGCAGTCGATGGCTTCCTTGGCAGCGCTCTCAGACTTCCTGGATTTCAGCAAGGAGCCCAAGTCCCTCCTGGAGAAGTTTCTCTACGCAGCAGCTTTCTCTCCCCGGCCTTCAGGAGAGCTTCTCCACCTCGTCCTAGTGAGTACAGACATCTCTCTCTCTTCCCTGAGGGTCCTGCATCGGGGATGGGTCCACACACCATGGAACAAGGAAAATGGTTCTGTAGAAATTGATTTTCCTGCTCATGGGATTGTATCATGTGCATTTAATGGGACACTGGTGATGGGAGTAGATGCTTCTCAGAGGGAAAGAATCCAGCAGAAGATGCTTTGTATCAGTGCATTAGAGATAATAAAATCTTAATTTAGAGGCACAGCATTTCATCTAATTAACTCACGCCTGGCCTCCTTCAAGGCAGGTAAGAGCTAGTTTTCCCTTACTTGCTTGAGATAAGCGGTAAAGCATATTCCTTCTTTTTTTTTTTTTTTTTTATTTTTTTATTTCCCTCATTTCTTTTTTCTGCTTCCTGTCACCCCTTTCCTGATGCCCAGGACAAGCTGGATGGGAAGCAGCTGGCACCTGAGATCTGGGAGACAGGAATGGTTGCTGTGGGCTCTCTGGTAGGCAAGCTGTGCCAGCAGAAGCTCTGTGGGCTGCAGGTGGGTCCTCTGCAATCCCTCACACTTGGCTTTTTGGGACACACAGGCAATTCCAAGGTGGAATCTCCTGTCCCTCACCTCCCTCTCCTCCTGCAAATCCCGAGCAGGTGGTGGAGCGTGGGGTGGAAACCCTCCTCAGGGGGCTCAGAGGTGCTGAGGAGGAGCCCGAGGTGGTCATTTACCTGCTGGCTCTGGGGAATGCGAGGCTGCCCGAGACCATCCCCACCCTCCTGGAGCTCGCCGAGGACGGTCCCACGGCCGTCACCACTGCAGCCACCTCTGCCCTGCAGCGATTCCCCGCTCCCCACATCTCCAGCGAGGTGGGAGAGGATGTTGGGAGGCTTGGTGCTCCCCTCCCCACTCAAAGCCAAGCTGCTGCAGTGCACTTCCCTCTTTTAATTGCCCCTTCTCAGCAGGTGAAGCGCGTGATGAGGAGGATTTTCCACCAGACGAGGAAGAGTTATGACAAAACCTGTCGTCTGGCTGCTGCAGAAATCCTCCTGGATAGTCACCCCCTGCCCATGGATGTCATCAACATCCTGCTGGCCACCAGCGAGATGGAGACCGAGATGGCCACATTCCTGCGGCTGAAGGTCCAGAACAGCCTGCATGACCACCACCACCTGGCAAGGTGGGGCTTGAGGGGACGGGTGCATTTTTCTCTCTGCTCTACATCACCTTTTTCTCCTCCACACCACCTTTTTCTCCTCCTCCTCCACAATCCAGCTGTGGGTTTTGGATGAACATGTCTTTAAAATGTGCTAGGATTGTTAGTGTTCAGGAGCACACATAATCACGGGATATGATTATCTGCAGGTGCTTTTATTGAGAGCTCTGGGAATCGGGTACAGACCCAAATCTGACTCTGACATGGCTTTTGAGCTGAACTATTTAATATTCTATCGTTATGTAACTTGCATATTAGTTATTAAACTTATACTGTTCTATTGTATACATTGACTTTATTCAAGCACGAGTTTCTCGTGATCTTTCTTAGGTCCCTGACCACAGTTTCTCATGATTATTCTTATGATTAAACAGTAATTATATTTAATTACAAAACAATCATCACATCTAACAATTATATCATTTATCATGTACTAGCAACACAGGTGCAGTGTTAGCAAGGTACAAGGCCTTCACATACCTAGGGTATTTATTTTTTCAGTGCTACTAAGCTTAATTTTCCTTTTAACCCTAAATCCCCATGAATTTAAAACCTTTTTACTATCAGGATCACTTTGTGGGGGCTGCTTGGACATTCCTGGAGTAACAAAAGGGATGCAGATGCCACACAGCCAGGTGGAACCTGACATCATTCTGCCCCATGGCAGCAGGACCCAGGCTTGTGGTTTTGGCAGAGTCCTTGGAGGCTGAAGCTCTGGCTCCCAGGGCAGTGCACAATTTGTACCTGCATTAATCTTCCTGTCTGCACAGAACAAACCAAACACTCACGTTTTTCAGAGCTAAGCAAAAGCTGCACAAAATGGTTTATCCTAATAAGCCAGAGGAAAAGAAAATTCCAGGGTAGCCCACATCTAATGCTTTCATTTTTCACTCACACTGCTCTGGGCAGTCACCAATCATGAGAAATACTTTGGCAAATTATATTTCCTTCTGTAGTGACCACTGACCTTTTGCCTTCCCTCCCTCACAGTGCTGACATATCCTTTCCCTCTCTGTTCCAGGAGGACAATGAAAGACATCATGGGAGACCCACGGATAAATAACTACAACTTCTTCTCTAAAGCTGGCATCTCCTCTTCTTTCTCAGGACCTCTGACAGGTGACAGCACAGAGGACACTGATCCCACGGTCCCCTCAGAGGGTTAAGGGAGGGGTTGGTGGGAAAAGACGGATTCCAGAGGATGATTCAGGTCTATGGAATGCCCTAAAATCTCAGGGAAGTTTCTGAGGGCGTCCCCCAGCACCAGCTGACTGACACCACCTGAGATATGAACTTGACCTTCTCTAACACAAACTTTTCCCAAATGCTGCTGGTTTGAAAGAGGAGCTTCAGCTGGAGATGAAACCAATGGCATATTGCTGGTGGGAGTTTCTGTGCTTTCCCTGGCAAGTCAAGATATTTCGCTGCATTCCTCACTTCCTTTAGTATTTTTAATAAGATCTTCAAAGAGGAAGATTCCTGCATTGACATTTAAAAGAAAGAATCAAACTTTAGAGGCTGCAAAAAGAAGTCTTGCTAAGTATCTGCTGAATTCTTCATCCTCATTTCTGTCCCTCTTCAAATTAGCTCAGTCTGGCCTTGCAGAGGGTCAGTGAGGGAGAATAGTCAGGGAGAAAAAAATAAACCAGCCTTGCAATGCTGAATCGTTTGAGTGTTGCAAGAAGGAAAGGAGAAGATGCAGAATAGTTTGGGTTGGAAGGGACCTTAAAGATCATCCTGTTACCACCTGCCTTCCACCAGACACCCAGGGGTGCTCATGGGCATCTCTCTGCCTCTCAGTCACCCAGGACCTGATTTCCACTTTTGGGCTGGACCTGCTGTTTTTGGAGGGTGGATTCCTGAGGAAGAGTGTCTCCGACTTCTCCCTGCTCAGCCATGGCCAGCAGCTCCGTGCAGCTCAGGTGCCAGCGGGAGAGGGGCTGGAGGGGAGTGACAACACCAACCCAGTGGTGCCACTGCTGTCCCTGTGTCCCCTCTTCACCTCCTTGTGGTGCCTCACCTCTGCACTCAGCATGTCCTGTACCAGAAAAAGGCAAATTCCCAAATCACCAGTGTGAAACCAGACACTCCTGCTCTGGAGAAGGGAGTCCCCTGCTACCCCAAAAACCAGAGGATGCAACACTGATACCTCAGGGTGCTCAGGGATGGCTTGGATTCCTCATCCCAGTCACTCCATCACTCAGGTCCTGCTCCTGTCCACCTCTGTCTTCCAGGTCACCTTTGAAGCACAAGGGATGGAGTCAATGATGGGAGAAAACCTCTCGGAAGGGGAAGAGGAGCTCATGGCTGGGATGTCGGCCACCTTCTTGGACGTCCAGTTGCGGCCAATCATCTTCTTCCAGGGCTACACAGACCTCATGGCCAAGGTCCTGCTGAGCAGTGGAGAGCCCACCAGTGTGGTCAGAGGGAACTTCCTGCTGATGGACCATCACCAGGTACTGGATGGGGAGGGAGCAGTGGCCTGTCTCCACGCCACATCCCAGTGAATGCAATGAAGTGAGCCTGTGGATGTCACACACCCCAGACACAGATCTGAGAGGGAGGTGGCACTGCCAGATGTGTCTTGGGGTTGGTCAAGCAGTGGGATGGCTTGGCCTGCCACGGGAGACCCGTGGCTGGAGCTGCCCCCTTGCAGGCCCAGCTGCAGGGCTGGGATGGACATTCCCAGCAGCCAAAGGCCCTGCCACTGTCAGCCACTCATCCAGGAGCAGTACCTGGTCCCAGGTAGCTCTGCCTTTTCCATCTTCCAGGTCATTCCTCTGCAGTCTGGCCTCCAAGTGACCGTCAGACTCCAGGGTGGGCTGGGGCTGGACATTTCAGCCGACATGGACGTGAGCATTTGGGAGCAGGAACTGAAAACCAGCATCAGTGCGAGGTCAGCTTGGCTCTGGGAATGGGACTGCCCGGGGGGTAAGGGTGGATTCCCACAGCTCCCTGCTCTTCTCCTGGTGGGTCCAGCCTTTCCTCTGGTGCATACACACCAATTTTCCATGGCCAGACCCCTGACTGAGGTGTTTATGGAGTTGTTTGGTGCCCATCACAGGCCATTGCTCTGTGACCAGACCCTATGTGCTTCTCTGTCCCAGGGGAAGCCTTGCCACGGATTTCCAGGCAGAACTGGATTCCCCTTTCCTCCAAGCCACCCTGAGGAGCCAGACAGAAATGGAGACCTCGATGCACTTCGACACCAAGCTGAGGTTTTCCAGCAGCCCTGTGCTCATGTGCCTGCAGCTGAGAGAGGAACAGGTCCCATACAGGTAGCACCAGATCCTGTAGAAACATCCTGGTGGGCTTGAGATAAAGGAGGACTTCTTGGGAAGAGGAGAGAATGAATGGTTGCACTTACTGGGTGGGAATTGGTGGGGATGAGGGAAGGGCACCACAAGTTCCTGATATGGTGGAAGCACCTTCCATAAGACCATCAGGACACGGTGACCGGGCTGGTCTGGGAGGAGAAGGCTGAGCTCCACCCCTGGCACAGGCTCCTGCCCATCCTGCTGCCACTTTGTCCCACAGAGAATTCCTCACAGTGTCCCAGTCTGCCGGGAGCCAGAGCAGCACCGCTCGGAAAGGCCGGCGTGGCACCGTGCACGGGAGGGAATTTACCTTGCACCAAGCCAATTCCAAGGTCTGCAACCTCCTGCTGACTGCAGAAAAAGAATAAGGAGTCAGAGCACTTTGGGATTCTCCTCCACAGCCACCTTTGAACGAGAAGAATGCTGCAATAAGGGCATCAGAAGGGACCACAGGAGGAACTGCTGAAGAACAGACACACCCCTTGCCCCCAAACCTGCCTTCACCCCCCAAAGGCTGAGATTTCCCCCTCCTGGACTCCTCTCCCTCATGGGGAAGGGCCTTGCTGGAAGCCAAGCTTTGAGAAACAGCCTTGTTTTGCAAGTGAATGACTTTCTGCGAGGGAAGAAACCCTCCTGGAGGACTGAGTGCCCAAAATGCTGTGTTTTCTCCTGATTTATCAAAGCTGTCAGGAGGGGACACATCTGCAGCCAGCTGCAAGTCCCCAGTGGGGGGAATAAATTACTTTCCTTGGTTGGGAGGTTGTTATCATCCACCACCACCCAACACCTCCAGCACTGGAGGGAGGCTCGTGAGGAAAAAGCAACATTTCTTCATTCCTTCCTGATAATAATGTGCCTTGGACATATTTTTAGCCTTTTTTTTGTGTGCTTGTGGCACAAAACAAGCATTTTAGGAAAGAAAAGAGGGATATGGAGTATATTCTGTTTTAATTATGAGCCTGCAATATTAGCACTGAGTCTTCTGGTTCAGGGGAGGAGACTTGCCTGGCTTTCCATCTGGAGACACCAATTGCTTTGGTTATGTACAGAAATAAATGCCCTGCATTTTTATATTGTTTCTGACTCTTAACTTTCCTGGACACATGGAAGGGAAGATGGGAGAGGCACTTCCAGCAAGAACCTGCTTTCTAGGTCTGTATTTAGGGTGCTTCTTTTCCTCTTTATCCTCCTCTAGAGCTTGACAAAGGCATATATTTGTCATCCAGCTGATATTAACCCCAAATCAGCTGAACTCCTAGTCCCAAAAGATACTTGTCCTGCCAGAGGGACCAGGTCCTGTAGCTGGGATTGGAGTTGGGAATGTGTTTCCAGACCCTTTGGAAGTGGTGAGGACATCTGAATATGGATTTCACCAGCCTGCATTGCTGCTGGATGCTTTGCTGTCTTGCTGAGCCACTGAATCCTGAAGTTTTCCAAACCCTTCCAATGATTTTTTTCCCCCAGTCCTGATTAGATATTAAAACAGCAATGAAGGAACATGGGCTTTTTGGTAAAGTCACCCATTTCCTTGGCAATGGCTCCAAACCCTCCTAGAAGGGACCTTTCAGCCCCAGGTCCCCAGTAGAGGTGGCATTGTGCCCACAGAGTTGGAATAGAGTCATCTCAGTTTAAGTGGGCAGAAAGGGACCTGCACCTGTGTGTATTTTATCCAGCCTGTTCCAGAGCTTGGCAACCCCTCCGTGAAGAGGTTGCACCTCTGTGATGGACCAGGGCTGTCCCTCAGCAGCCCCTCACCCTTCTGACCTGGGTTTTGGGTGGCAGAGCCATCCCCTCCTGGCCTCCAGGCTTGCCAGCACAAGCAGTTGTCCATGTTTTCTTTGGCCCTACAAGTCACTCTTACTGCCAGGACATCCCATGCAGCCCTCAGGAGAGCACATGGATGCCACTCACCAAACAGGGCAAGAAAACATTATCTGCCTGTCGTTCCAGCTGGCTGCAGAGACAAAGTTACCACGAGAAAGAGTGAGGGAATGCATCTGGAAAATGGCAAGGATTGGATCTCCTTGGGAATTTAGTGGAGAGGCAGCTCTGCGGTGCTGGGACAGAGCTCTCTCTGATCAGCCACTGCTTTCTCCTTCCTAGGCAGCCTGAAATACAAACAATTGTATTTCCTGATTGCTGGGCCCCAGAGACTCCCCAGACTCCATGAAAAATCAAAAAAGCCCCTCAGTTTATAACTCACCAAAGCAGCAGTGAAAATCCCAGCACCGAACTGTGGCAATAGCTGCAGCTGCACATCCCAAACCTCCACTGCAGAGCTGGCAGCTGCCTTGGGACAGGCACGTCCCACCAGGATCCCTGCAGGGCTTTCCTAGGACATCCACACTCCCATCTGACAGCCACAGGGGACTCAAGCTGGAGCATCCAAGGAGCAGCTCAGGGCCAAGGCTGGTGAGTCAGGCAGGGAGCCTGGGAAGTGGCTGAGCTGAGCCAACAAGGCTCCAGGGCTGAGATAAAACCCTTTGGCAAAAGCCACGGGAAAGAAAGCTGAAGCTTTCCTAGAAAGCTGCTCCACCCACTCCATCCTGGCCAAGAGTGTGAGTATTGAAGGGTAGTAGGTGCTGTAGGAAAATTAGAAGTGAAGAAGGTGTTTGGAGACACAGCCATAATTCCAGTTCCCATGGGAACAATGGGGACAAGCACCTGCTCTGCCCCATCTCACAGAACCCAAATTCCTGAATGGTTTGGGTTGGAAGAAACTTTAAATCTCATTTCACTCCACCTCCTGCCATGGGCAGGGCATCCTCCACCAGACCAAGTTGCTCCAAGACCCACCCAACCTGACCTGGCCATCCCAGCAAGAAAAGCCACAACCACACCAGTTGCAAGCCTTGAAGTCTCTCATATCCCTTACAAACCCAGAAATCCCTCCTTGCCCAAATATTGTGGCTGCTGCAGCCTAAAAACCTGAAGGTGTGATGAGCTGTAGCGATGCTGTGTGGAAGGGAAGCACCCAACAGACAGGTGGAGGAGTTTTTCCATGGTAAAATCCAAGCAGGGTTTTCAAAGCACTTGTAAAAGCAGGCACTGCAAAGATCCAGAGGAATCCAGTGTGGCTGGGTTTTAAGGAATGACCTGGTAGGGTTTGGGTTTAACCTTTTAGGAGGGGCCATTAAAAACACAAGGGGAAGGACTGAGTGACTTCATTACACCAAAATGTCTGCAGGAGACATATAGAAGGGTGCAAAGCAGGAAAAGAGGAAAAGAAAACCTTTTTTGAGGGATTACAGCAGCATCAGCGACCACCAATGAGGCCAATCACAATCACAGTGGAGTCAATCACCAACATCTCTGAAGTTTCCACAGGAAGCACCATTTTGTGTGAGCTTTAGAGCAGCTCCCACACCCCCTGAGGGCAAAGCCACTTCTCACCTCCCTCCCACTCAAGTGCCACCAGCTGGCCACTGCTGCCATTGTCCTTGATAAAAAGTGGCACTGGGGACCACTCAAGTGTCCCCTCCCAGCCGTGCCCTGCAGAGCAAAGGGCAGGAAGCAAGGCAGGGAGTCGTCCTTGAGAGGGAAGCTGCTGCTTGAGGATGGAGCATCCATAAGCTGGGACAACCGAGGCAGCACCAAACCTTGTAAGAGAGTTTCCCTAAAAATCCCGGCAACAGGAACTCTTTTTTTGGCATCAAACAGGAAAGGGGGGCTGCCAAAACACACCCTGACACTTCCTCTCTGGCCTCATCCCATCCCTGGCTTCACCTGTCTACATTTTTTACCTGGACATGGCATCAGGGGCTCTTTTTGGCCTGAACCATTAATACATCAATATTTATTTTTGCAGTGGCTTAACTATTTATGTTTGTGTATCTATGTATGTGTATCTCCAGAGATTTTCTTCCTCCTCAAAACAGCAATGTGAAACTCTGGCTGCTAAAGAGGAGGCACTGGGTTGAAGTAACACTAAGTAAATCCATTTCAACAAGCACACATGGGTCACACTCATATTTACCCCTCCACACACACATCCCCAAAACAGATCAACAGCAAGAGATTTTTATGTGGATTTATTTTTATTTTTTTACATTATGTTAGAGTTCAAAAAAAAAAAAAAAAGAACCCAACAAAATTAATAAATATTAAAAGTTAAAAAGCTCTGAATCTCATATGTACAAAACTTTATACATCATGGTAACACTGGACAAGGTCACAGCACAGGGACAACTCCATGCACCCATCTGGCTTAGGAGGGTGCAGGGGATCAGAGCCACCCTCTCCTCCTGGAGACAGGACCAGAGACAGGACAAAGCCACCCAAGCTCAGCCTGCCTTCAGCTGGAATAAGTTCCCCATCCCTGGAAGTGTTCAGGGCCAGGACGGGGCTTGCAAAAACCTGTCTAGGGGAAGGTGTCCCTGCCCATGGCAGGAGGGCTGGAGCTGGATGAGCTGTACAGCTCCTTCCACCCCAAAGCATTCCAGGATTCCATGAAAACCCTGCAGCATCACCACCCCAGAGCAGCCACAGCTGGTGGGGGGAGGTTATCACAGCCTGCTTTAGATCTCCTCCACCTCTCAGGAGATCCTGAGGTCAAAATCAGCACCCACAGTGGGGCCCCCTGCTCAAACGCCCCAGGGACTGTGGGTGCAAGGAGCTGGGTCAGCCCCCAGCCCCAGCTCTCCCCTGAGGTGTAGGAGGAACCACTGCAAATATTCCTTAAGCAATAAAGCACCGAGGCCTAGGCCAGCAGGGAAGAGAGGGGAGCAGCTGGGAATTCCGGAGGAAGGCCATCACAGCCCGTTTTTGAGGGGAAAGGTCTTTTTGTTATGCTCCTCTGAGAGCAAACAAAGTGTTATCTTTGGCACAATAAATAAATGCTGGCACTCCCGTGGAGGGGCTGGCAAGGGGCCCTGGTATCCCCACAGGATCCCCTGTGGGTACCAATGTGCATGTCCTGGGTCTGGGTACGCCACAGGCACCCTCCATGTGCCCACTCCCACAAGGTGTGCCAGCTGTGTCGCTCACACAGATGGGGGGTTTGTTCCATGTTTTGGGATGCCCACCTAAGGCCAAAGGGCAGCACCCAGGAGGTTGGGGACCTCCAGCCTCAGGTACTTTAAGAGGAGGTGGAAAAATGCTCGTCCAGCTGTGCCTCGGCAGCAGGAGGGTGTTGGGAAGCTTCAGGGGAGCAATGCAGAGTCCAATGTTTAAAACATCCAGAATGCAGAGGGGTCTCCATCCATTTCAGTCAAAGCAAGCACCTCAACCCTGTCACAGTGAAAATCACCCCAGCCACCTCACCAGCAAGCCCTGGCTACCTGCAGAGCTCACAAACACTGTCCCTAGGGATGCCACATCCTATTCCTTGGATACCAAGGAAGCAGGAGCCTCAGGGCCAGTGGATGCACCCACACCATGCATGTGCTCCCAAGGACATCCCACTCTGCAATGCCAAACTGGTCTGTCTGCCAAGCCTTGCCTTCCCAGGACTCCACCTCCCCATTCCCACAACTTCCCCAGATGCCCACCTTCCCCTGCCACTGCACCCAGAGGTGCCCTAAGTACCAAAACCATGGAAGCCCCCTCAGGGACACCATTTTCAAGAGGTTTTTGAGGATTGAAACTTGTCAAGGCAAACCCTGTACCCAGAGCTGGCCCAACACCCGGCAAGGAGAGGGCAGCCCAGGGTTCCTAAAGTGCTGTGCAAACGTTTAGTATTTGGCACAATAACTTGTAACGGCATTAATCACCCCTTTCCACCCTTCCCCGAGCAATTAAAGATGCAGATGAATCCTTGTCTCTCTCCTCTCCTTGTAACTGCCCCTAAAATCCACTCCTGGCTTCCCAGTCACTCCCATTTCCCCTGGAAGCTGTTGCTGCCCCAGAGGCACTGGGTCCAAGGGTGCAGGGATGAGGTGGTGATCTTGGGCATTGGTATCAGCTCAAGGCTGGCCAAGGGCAGTACTGGCTAAAAAACAGTCACCCCCAGGTGATGGGCACTTTTGACACCAATTTTTGGTCTTTGACCTGTGGTACTTATTGCTCACTTTGGAATCTCCTGGATCATTTCCTGCCTCCAGGATTCTATGCTTGTCATATTCCACCTTCCC